CTGAATCTGAATCCTTGTAAACCTACCGCTAATTACCACTCTGAATCCTGGCGACGTTGCGTGATAACTACGGTAAACAAGTGGAAAGTTCCCTTACAGATCCAGGCGACGTTGCGTGATAACTACGGTAAACAAGTGGAAAGTTCCCCCAGATCCAGCCAAGTTGCGTGATAACTACGGTAAGCAAGTGGAAAGTTCCCTCAGATCCAGCCAAGTTGCGTGATAACTACAATAAAGTTCCCTCAGATCCAGCTGATAACTACGGTAAACAAGTGGAAAGTTCCCTCAGATCCAGCCAAGTTGCGTGGCAACTACGGTAAACATGTGGAAAGTTCCCTCAGATCCAGCAAAGTTGCGTGGCAACTACGGTGCGACAGGTTAGAGGTGTGCAGTGAATGTTTTTCCATCCCCAAAAATTTAATAGGATATATGTACAAGGATGCGACACAGGGAACTTACTATCGCGTCGCGAGGGACTTTTTACCGGCGAAAAAAAAAGGCAGTCACATGATTTTTGAGTGATATATGGAGAGTCAGCATCTTATTGGTTGCACGTGATATACATTTTATTTATTTATCGACAAAATTAAAATACCTGTTTACTATTTTTATCTATGATTGTTTGTTTCTTTGCTTTAAATCAATGTAGTAATAACATTTTTAAGTAACTCCTTAGAATCTTCTTGCTGTTGCAAAAGGAACGAACTAATATTAAATGAAGAATGATAAAGACCAATAAGACAACGCAATATGTAAGTAGACAGTGGCTCTCTTTATAGTGTACCTCCATTATAGTGGAGACTAATTAAAATTGCGATATAGCGGATAAAGGTTCAAAACTATCTATAATAAATGCTATCCGATGTAGTGTATTTACTAAAAAACTCTCGATATAGTGTAATTTTTGAGAATTTTTACTAGTAGATTTTTTTGATACACTATAAAGAGACCCAAATCGGAATTTGGCCCATTCTAGAATGGGCTAACTGCGGCTCAGCCCATTTTAAGATTTTTTCCGACTTGGGCTGGCCCATAAAATATGCTACTAGATGTGATATGATAAATATGCGTACGTCGATCTTATTTATAATAATTGTTATTTAAAAATCGTTTTTCATCAACCATTATACAAACTTCTAATATAAAGTCGTACACATCGAGTTGATGATGCAAGGCGAGATCATACTATTTTTCGTGAATTGGCTATCCAAAGGTTCAACGAAATGACAGTTAGTATTTGGCATTGGAGAGAGTGTACAAATCCTGATGACCGAACAGGCATAGACCAAAAATCACTCCCATGTAAAGTCCTGGAGGGGTTTCTACCCCTTGGGTGTGCTCATGGAGTGTTAAACAGCTGCTATCAACCGTGCAATATGGAGAGTATCTCACTGAACTTGACAATATACCAAACAATAGAATATCACTGACAGAAGCAGCAAAGTTTAGCAGTAATGGTAATACAGGGTTCAGTTTGTCATTGTAAATCTAATTGCAATACGATGTCATCCTTCATAATCAAAATGTGTTAATAGAGAGCAAACAACGTAATATAATAATAAATATAAATAAGATCGACGTACGCATATTTATCATATCACATTGTACAACGTCTAGTAGCATATTTTATCACATCATAAAATGGGCCAAATTCCGATTTGGGCCAGAACATATATACAGTCAAGACTCGATATAGTAAAGTCGACGGGGATTTTTCTTGACTATATCGAATATTTACTATATTGAATATTCTCGTTATAGTAAAGTTTATATATACTGTACGTGGCATAAATATTTACTATATCGCGACTGGCCAGTCTTGTAGTAGTATAATAATAAATGACTCAAACGTTATTTCGACTGAAGATTCAATTGTGCTGAACGATTTAAGTTGTTAATGGAGCAAATGCCATACCGTAGTAACTTCTTGATTCGGTCAAGGTTTCATAATTTATTTCAAAAAACGAAAAAAAAAACCCCTAAATGATCAGATCGCACCTATTATTGTGCGATACTTAATGTTTGCGAACAAACATATCCAACACGCTTTGTTTTCTCGAAGCAAATTCCTTGGAAACAATTTCTTTTTTCAATTTGGATCAAGTGATAACCATCTTACCTTATCACGCACAATCTTTGAAACAGTTGCCTCGGAAATATCAAATTGCTTCGCTAGTGTAACTTGGCTAACACCTCACTCTTTTAAACGACATATTTCAGCTTTCTGGACACCAGACAAACCTCTTCTCCCTGAACTGCCTTTTTCTTTTTCTCTCTGTAGGGTCTCTGTTTTATCTTCATGCTGATAAAATTCTCACCTCTCAAAATTCTTTATCACGTGTTTGTATTATGATTGGTCAAAATCCATCAAGGGTACAATCTTCACTATATCGAGAGACAATCTACCAATATTGTTTGAGAAGAAACTTGACTATATCTAATATCGAGACTTACTATAAAACTTCATTCTATCGAGGGAAAATTTAATAATTCGGTTTTTTGTTCAGAGGAATTCTTGACTATAATGCGAAATTTACTATATCGAGACTTTACTATATCGAGTCTTGACTGTAACGAACTTTCATTATAATCACGTGATATTTGTTAAAGCGGGATTTATTCCTCTATTGAATTTTTCAAAGTTAGTAAAAATCCTCTAAACATGTCTGTTTTTTTGCTGCAATACTTTTTTCAACAATTTGTTTACGCAGTTGCTTTAGCTAATTATATACTTGAATGTCGACACTTAAATCTTGCTGCTGACAAAATAAGAGCTTAAACTTTTCCTTCTTCCTCAATCTTTTCTGCCTCCTTCCTCTTCATAACAATTGTAAGGTTTGTACGTAGTTTCTTTGTTCCAGAACAATATTTGTCTTTAACTCGGGGACGTTTTTTGGAAGACGATTCTATATCTAACAATAGTGAGGCTTCACTTGCAAGCGAAGACATCTTTATTACATGCAGTGAATATACTATCGTTATGTACCGAAATCTCGGTATATCATGCTAATTTAGGCAATAATCGTTAAACTGAATGGTTTATCTTTGAAATTTCTTCGTTATATCGTTATACAGATTTTAATATAATAATAATCTTCGTTAAACCGGGAGCTAAGCATATATGAATGAACCGGTTCCTGAAAAAGCTTCGTTATAAGGCTATCTTCGTTAAAACGGACTTCGGACTTCACTGTGTATTACAGTCAGGGATTCTACCAAATTTGGTCAATGCAGATCGCACTTTTTATGTTAATAAAAATTCTGGAAAGTTCTAGGAATATCTGAAAATCACGTGTCGCTTTAATCATTGGATACAAAATATCATAATTCTTAATCGTAATACTATTTTCAGATAACATATTTCTAATGTCTTGAAGAATATTCACCCAAGTCGTTACGGAAGTTACTCGATAAGCCTCGAAAATGTGATCATTGTGAATCGCCTAATAAAAGGGGTTAAAGAATTGATAATGGATAAAATTTCCAATTTCGTTAATAAACTTTCAGCTTGCTGGTGATCTGCTTCTTCAATATTATTGGGATTGATTGCCAAATGCCCAATGATGTTTCTTTGATTAGTTTCGCTTTAATCAAATCTATTCTTTTTGCATGTGCAATTTCACCAAACCTTTTTCATTTCTTCACTTAGCATTCTCCGCTTATATTTTGAAAAACACGATTACCCAGCATTCGGTTTTACAATTGTGTTTTCTTATTCGAACCCAAATCGACGTGATTCAGCAACAAAATTAGGACGTATGCGAGTGCGAGGGCCGTATGTTTCATTTTTGGAATATCCTATTATGTTAAAAAGGTTAGTACACAGTTTCAAAAATTGGTATAATTACGTGCTGCAATCTCCCAATGTCGTTGTGAAGGTATAGAAGGAACCAATGATTTCAGTGTTTTGTTGATTTCTTCCAGTATCGTATCATGGTCTTGATGTTGATCTGAAAGTTCAGAACGTGAAGTTACAACTCTTTCTTCAATCAACTTGTCAATTTTAGGCCTTAATCGTAATCGTTGTTCTTCGTAAGCAATTTCGATTAATCGTTAAATGGGATATCGCCGATCAGACCAAATCGGCGCAAACGTTCGTCTAGCTGCAAGCCTCAATGAAGGCCTATTAAAACGAACTCCACTATGAAAGTTAATAATCGTATACATTACGTCGCTCCATTTTCGCAATTTCCATTACCAATCTTACACGATCTTGTTCGTCAGCGAGTCTTTTATCTAACAGTCTTTTCAGTGCTTCATTTTCTAATAACAGCTGTCTATTATTAGCACCTTCTAACTCGCTATTCCTTTTCGAAAGCGTTTCGTACACTGGATCCTGCATAGATACTTGGACTCCGAAATCGGAAAAGCTTTTTCACAAACTTGCATCTCATCGTTATTATCAGTAAGCTTTCTTCTTTTTCTCTCTACTTTGTCCGAATCTGAAAAACTTGAATCATCCATTTTAGTTAATTGTTTTATAAAAGACTTTTTGACTATTACCTGATTGTAATGTCTTTCACATATAGAGTAATTGTCTAAAGAGTCAAGCAATGAGGATAGTTCAGAAGATACTTAGCCACTTTTGTTAGACTTTCTGCTGCTGCAACTAGCAGATGCATGTCGCCATCTCTTTAGTTGCACATGGTACCAACTGAATATTCTTCGAAAGAGAATCAAATACGCAAGGTAGATTTCTGGCCAAACTCATTGAACTCATTGTAGCAGTTGTGTGTAACAAAGCGTAATTCTAAAACGAGAAGAAACTGCTTTTCAAAGTCGTATGGATTCTGTATTTCAACTGTTAGCTTTGATTCTTATCGCAGCACTAGATCTATAAATCGGTTTGGCATTTACACCAATCAGATTTCGAGATACGCATCTGATATACCCTGATAAATCTTAATTATAATCCTAACCCATGCATTTAACACGTGGGGAGTGAAAATTTTTATTATAAGATTGATAATGACACACGTAAGATTTTCTTAGAATCAAACATGCAACATCCAGTAGTTGATTCCAACTTTAAAACATATCGCCTTAAGCGCAAGAAACGCAGTTTTTTCACAAACACAGATGCTCGACAGTGGTCATTTCAACATTTTTATTCCTCTACTATTTCCTCTAAAGACGCGCCAAAAACATTTAATGAAATTGTTGACGCGTGGACCGCCAGTCTAAAATTTATTCGAACAGCAAGAAATATTCCAAAGTCAATCGTGAACTTTGCGATGGATCTAATTGAATTCAACAATACTAAGGAGTTTGAGAGAATGCGGCGCGCTTACGCACAGAATTTCGAAGCCCACGCACTTGCAATCATTTCAGGCGGGTCAGTGACAAATAGCAAACTGGCAAAAGATTATATGATACAGGCGAATGAAATCTTGGACGGCACATCAGGAAAGCAAGATGAGGAAGTTTCTTATACCATTACTACCAATGACGAGGACCCAATACTAGTATGATTAATTTTAATATAGTATGGTCAATAAGTAGAATCGTCAATTTAATCATTACATTTTTCATATTTCTTTGGAAGGACCCTAATCAAGTGTATAATGATGACGAATTTATGGAAGAAAGTCCAACATGCCAAAATAATCGGAAAAGGAAACTACGAGATGACGAATTACCAGGTTACGATGGATTAGTATTTCTATTTAATGATTCGAACGAAGATACCATTATAGAGAAAATTGACGAAGATGCCCTTGAGGAGGAAAGAAATTTGCCACTAGCAAGTGACAATAAGGTAAGATCTTATTGTTTTCATTCGTGAGCATGCAGTCTACTCAGTAAGCACATTATCTATCCTCAATAGAATCCATCCAAATTTATATGTGACGACATACTGAATGCATTCCAAACATATCAAAATAAAATCCCTAAAATTCGCAGAGTATTCACGTAAGTTTGGTGTCTTTTTTATGATCATGGTCTGATTATTAATGCATTTTTTTTATCTTATTATTTTATAGCCCTGCATATTGGGGGGTACTCGATCTGACTAGAGAAAGTCTATACGGATGTAAAGAAATTACAGAAAACGATCTACAGCAGTTATCCCAAGATTTTGCTGATCATATAAAATGGAAATGCGACCCGGCTCCAAAAGATATCCAGGATTACTTCGACAGTAGTTGCAAAAAACTTGACGATAGCGGTGAAAATGGAGATCTAAATTATTTGATACAAATGCACAATTTTTGTATGTATTAGTTCTGTGAATTATGTACTTAATTATCTGGCATTACGTTCTAACTTTGTATTATCGTACAGGAAAAACAACATGCATCTCTTCCAAGGAATGCTAACAGAAGAGCAGTTAAAAATGACAACATCTTATCCATTATTTCATGGAATATTCACATCCGATCGTATAAAACACGCCTGGTAAGACATTTTCCTTTTTATTAAGGTATTGAATATTTGATCTAACAATTCTTCTGCACATAGGGGGGAAATTCAGACTATTTCAAGCAGTGATGCGCGTAACGAAAAATCGGACCCATTCAAAAAAGCAAGAATGGGTAGAAAGGTCGATATGAAAGTGACATTGCTAAAGACTCCAAATAAATTTGAGGCTTTATTTGGAGAGGTTTCAGGTGGGCTAGGACCATTTGGAATCCCTACAGCTTGTCGCAAGAAGCGGTTCCTAGATAAAGTGAAATTAATGGTAACCATGCGTGATAGTATAAATCGTCTATTAAAAGAATGTGATTATGTATCAAATGAAAAAAGATTGGAAATTATAGTTTTCGGCTGGCTACAATTTGGTAGGTTTAATATTGGAAAAAATTTTAACAATGATCTTACTAATGGACTCTATTTTTTAGGTTTAGAATTGAATTTCTATGCCATGGATTGGATGGGATCCGGTATATATAGATTCGGATTAATAGATCGATGTAGGATACCTACTGATGCTGATGGTTGCAACATATTGGAGGATGCATATTGCATTCTTAAATTGCTCGAAGTAAGTTGGTAAATAAATTACTGTCAATAAAAAAAATATCAAAAACTAACATGTTTGTCAAATATAGAGAAAGTTACTTGGTACCGAAAGGGCTGTAAAAACTCTATTTTCGGAAAACACGAAAGGAAAAAGACGACAAATCACATTGGAAAACAAAGTAGAGCTAAATGTCAATCGTTCCCCTTGAATGTAACTCATTATTCCGTGACCAAATGATTCTAAAGCTTGTAGTACATAAAATTATTGGGATCACCTTTGTGATATTGAAATAAAAATTTGTGTGCGTTATAATTTGTCACTTTTTCCAAGAAAACCGGAAAAATATTGATTATATACACCTGCATTACACGAAAAATAACACACGATACATTGTACATTCCTCTAACCGAAATCTTTATTATAATAAAAATACATGAAATATACTGTACATTAGTGAAACTAGCTCCGCTAAAAAATGTACCACTTATATTAACTATTTATTGGTAAACTTTTGAATTCGAGCCCTTTACTCGCAGGGAAATATCTTAATCCTTTAACAACCCAACAATTATTCCAATCACCTTTTTCAAATTGATTCAATATTCTCTTTTAATGCTTCTTTGGATAAATTAATTCGGTATTCGTTTTACTGGTACAATATAGGCCATCGGTGGCAAATATGATGAAATGCCATTCTGTGGCTGAAGAAATATGATCAATAATGGCACTATCATGACATAGAAAGCTAGCACGACTAACAAATCTATTCATACCTGTAGAGACTATTCCATAGAGATAATCATAATCGTCACTTCGAAATGCTTGATCTGCTGTACGTTTCTTTTTATTTATATTATATGCTGTGTAAATTTTTTCTTCATTAGTAAGTCATCGAACAATTGCCAACGATGCGTTTAATATGGATGTAATAAATACACAGCGCGCAACTTCATTGGCATTGCTCTGCATTGTCTCCAAATTCAAAAGCCTTAATGTTATTTCTTTCATACATTGTTTGAGAGCTTTGTCATTGTCATCAATTTCCTCGAATACAAATTGTGTCAGATGTAGGGTGCCATTTCTTTCAAAATAAAACACTAACTTTACCTGGGTTGAATTGTTTGATACATGTAATTTCTTCACCATTGACTTTGTATTTACGAAGTACTTTTTCCAGCTCCTCTATGGTTTTATATGACGAAAAACTTCGTAATTTTTTTTTTCATTAAGCTCTCCAATAAAGTCAAATTCTAGTTGCAGGACCAAAAGCAAAGCCAATTTTTCTTCTGTTAATTACAACCTGTAATCTTTTGTTTACGAAGGACAGCAAAATCATCATCATCTAATTTCAAATTTCTCCTCTGCAGAAAACTTATCCGGTAAACAAATGTCCATTATTTTCTGCGCCGATCTGCGCCGCGGAATTTTCTTGTCACAGACACAAAAAAATGGCTTGTTAAAATTAGGTAAAGATTTACTTCATTTTATCATTACAACAATATTGCTAGTCTTTCTTCGATTAAGGAATTATATCATTCGTTATTCGCTCCATTTGGGCTATTGCTAAATCAGATCTTATGTCGTAACATTATCGATTGAGTTTTGCCAAGCATTTTACGATAAATAATAAGAAATACAGTCAAATTCGGTTATAGTCCGAATGATCTCCGACGCAGAATATGGATGGATATATTACATCCTCGGATGGAGGGACTAATAAACACTTTCGATTCTCGTTTTGACTTTGTAGCCCTTGGCCAGTTAACACATATTAATATACTGTAGCATATTGTATGAATCGCGGGTAATTTGTTTGTCACTAGTCACACTATGGTAATAACAATTTTTCGGGTAAACGTATTAGTATACAGTTAAGGTACACTTATACAGTTATTAACAAGCACATCTCTTTATTATTGTTATTTTCGTTATTTTCTATATGTCAATATTAATATGTAATGAAGAGAATTGAACTACTTTGAATAAGTTGTTAATAATGACTGGCTGTTTTGGGTTCTGAATTCTACCTCTTGTCAATGGCAGATACTCAAATTGAAGATCTACTTTAACAAAATCTCTACTCTCTCGATTGAAATTCCAATGCCTTGTATAAATGTACTAGCATTGACAACTATCGTATCGCTCATTCACTTCCACTGTTCCTCAAAAGGAAGCGGAGATCATTCGGAAGTCACGGGACTGCCACTCTCAGAATTTGATCGGCCATCTAAAAGTAGATCGATAGAGCTATCGTTGCCTTTTTTATCTACATGCCAGTTTGACGTTGGAGAATCACAGATAATAAAGTAACATCCCGTAAATGGATGAATACCAACCTCACAACTTTGATTACAGTTTATCATTTCACAAATCATTTTACTGAGAGAGGAAGCACAAGAGTAATAGAATTGGAATAAAATATATAACTACCGCCTATACAGATCTAATATAATAGTCATATAAATAATGCAAGAGTATCGATCCATAGTAAATCTGATGCCCTTGTGATTGGTCGCGTTATATTTATACATAATCAATTGCTTTGTTACAATGATTTAAAATTACAATACACTTCTACATGACAAAATAAATATTAATATTGATATGCACTACAAAAATGTATGGTCTAAGAATTATTAGATGCTTGATCATCACAACTTAGAATGCTACTGCTATTGTTTCCATGATTGTATGAAAAATAGCTAATAATACTATTGTCTTTCTTACTTATCAACTGTAGCGGGTGAGCATTTTGTCGATGGTTCACTGTCCGGTTCCAATCAAAGTCAACTAAAAACACTCCTGTTACAGGCCTATGGTCTGAAAATCCCAATACGTCCATATGACTCGTATATCTTATAACTCTGGCATCCTTTCCAGGTATTCTTGTCTTGAATAGTATACGATCTGTCCAACTATCCCCATTTCAAATTAAAAAAAAGTTTATCATATTGCGTAAATACTATGTATGGCACAACTTATTTTGCGTACATGAACCAATTACCATCATACCTTGGAACGCGATTCTTCTCGCTCGTATCATATTTTGCGGGCGGAGGCTGAACAATGGCAGGTGATGACAAGCAGTGTGGTATCGGACCACTATGTCTATAATCTTCATGGTCAGTAATATCAAACTTGAACGTTGGTGTAAATCCTATTGGCGCTTCATGAAAGTTCTTGAATATGGTGTTATTCTTCATTTCCTCGAGCAATTGATCATGTTCTAGCAACGTCTGGAAACAAAAATTGTGAGAATAAATAGTTATAGGACGTGAAAGATAAAAACGATTGCAACCTGTTGGACGGATTGCTTGATTTCTTTATGTAGGTAAATTGCTTACTTGAATATCTTTAGCTTCCAGATACTCGTCAACTACAGCCCTTTCTAGATTTACGCGGTAGTTCATGTCACCAAACCAGAAGATGTAATCAAAACGATCAGTGACATCCTGCGCTAATAAAATGAAAACAGTTAATATTCCGGTATACTTCTGCACTATAACGGAAATTAGTTACTAACCTTTATCTGTCTTATTAAATCCTTTCAATTTTAGCTCTCTCTGTATTTTCTTCACATTACAGTTTCTTTGTTTCAGTTTTCCCTTATTAGCTAATTTACGTTAGAATTTAATTCGTCGCAAACGCTCACCCAGACTTTCTATAAATCTTACCAGCTAAATGGCTATTTATAAACAAAAAGGATGTATACCCGAATAGTATGGATATTCCAACTGCTCCTTTGTTACCAAACAAATTGGCTATTCCAGTAGCTACTGAAGCATGCTGTATGTCTACCAAGCATATAAAGATCGTGTTATATGAATTGTTCGTCTATTCTATAAACCACACGAATTATACTAACCTATTATCCAATCTACGCATTTATTCCATACAAATACAGCCTATAATTACAGTGTTAGCATGCCGGCATATGACATTTACAATAATAGAATGCACGATCCTGAACCAACCATTGCTACTCACCAAATGCAATGCAGCCATAGTTTCAGTCTTCACCAGTTTGTATGAATGGCCCAAGTATTCACAGAGCCTATTTTCCCATATCTCCTTTGACGGAAAGAATACCGAATGACTGATATTATGCTGACATTCTTGGGTTCCTATCACGAGGAGGTGGTATGGGTGTTCGGCCGACGGAGAACAATAAGGCCTGTCCCCGGATTCGTTTGGCGCCTCATAGCTGGGTCTCTCGCAGAATGGCGCTAGATTCGGTGGAGGAAGCTAGCAAACAAGAGCGGGGGTGTGTTGGTACGTTTTTTACATTAATGGGGACAAATTTCTTTTGCCATGATCATCAATTATAATACCTTGCCGTGCATGTTCCATGTTCCAATAAAAATCTTAATTTTGTTATATTCGACATTTTTCTCTTCTTCTTCAAAATTGATAGCCTTTCTCTTCTTTTGAAAAGCGATCCAAGGATGAACCAAATTCCAGATAGAGTTCATATTCTTTGCAAATACTAAACATGCTTTCCGACTCCCTTTTGTTCACAAAGTTGTGGCATGTAACCACGTGTCAGCCGTATACCCCTGCCCTGCCATTCCTTTAGAATCCAATGCGCCCCTGTTAGCAAACACGGCGAATCTGGTTTTACCCTTGAAAGCATCATCTATCATTGATACCACGCTTGCGTCGAAGAATTATCCCATATATTCAAATAAATCGTTTGTTTGAACGTGCGCATAGTTGATACGGAGATGAACTTCAATGTAATGGCTCTTGTGGCTCGTAGAACATTCCTCGTAGAACATTCCAACAACAGCATTCGGAGTAACTTCTAATTGAATAGAACCAAGGTAATTTTTGAACGTTCTTGACTGCAGCTTCCATAGTTAATAGTTTCGATTCCTAATGGTTATTATTATCCCCTGTTTGAAAGGAATTACAATGATGCGTTCGAAAGCTGACTACGGTCTAATGGCTATAAAATGAGATCGGGACAATGCATTCATCTTGGTAAACATTAATCTCTAATTTAGAATCATTTGCGCATCAACAGGTATTCAAAACGTTGTCACTGAGGAATGGTCTTTATATGAAAAAGATAGTAATGATAAAGTCAACTTCCATTAATTCGGACACCGACTATCGTCCGAATTAACGATTGTTGATTTATGATGTGACGAATTTTATTGTGAATATCGATATGGATATTTACCGAAAAAGTTTGCTATTATACTGTAACCTACGATGCCACGAAACTTGACTTACGATAAGGTTATCTCTTTGACGTTTACTGTTCGCGGCAGTTAGATGTGTATACAGTTTGGAACTTTTTTAGCTTTTTTGTAATGATCCATCAAACTCTTTCTGGACGGCTGAATTTTCCGAACCGAATTATCGAAATATCACGAATAAAAAGAAAGAAGAAAAAAAAGAGTCCGGCATTAAACGTCCGGATTATCGAAAAAGAGGACGAATTAAAGGCAGTTGACTGCATCTGTTTTAGTGAATGCTCTTGTGTATTTACTAAGACTAATACATTTCTTAATCATGTGATGTAACGTATTAGAAGATATAATGATATTAATATGAAAGTTTGAGTCATGGTCTCAAAAAGATGTCGATCACAAGATTTCGATTTGACATTACAGTAGATTTGTCCGCGTCACGTCTTCTTAACGTCAGCACAATATCGCGTTCGTTGTTGTATTGACACGAGAAAAAGAGTAAATCTAAATACCGTTCTAAAAACGTCCACCTGTATATGTAATGAAGACACCATTCATTTGATCAAAAGGATCAGTCAGCATGATGACTAGGAGCTAATCCTCGACCTGTAAGAGATCAGCCTGCCTGGTATACATTTCTTCTCATCGTCTATTATTTTCATAACACACTGCAACCGTTGTGACCAAAAGAAGATGTACAGTACAAAGCAATTGCATGACTATATAACGTTACGCAAAACTATTCCCAAAATTGGAGAATTTAATGATAATAAATTTTGAAAAGCAATTTACAAAAATAGCCGTGTATATAGAGTGTAGTTGACTAGACGGTTTTTCAAAATTGAAACGGTAATGACGAGTTCTTGATCAATGTTATTTATAAGCGCATACACATTATGCATAAACACGGTCGTACAGTATGTATTGTAACTCTTATGAAGTTGTAGACGCACACATTTCGCAAAATAAAAAACGTCGGTTGTAATGTGTCAACGAACAAGAAAAAGTTTTATATCCACCAATACCACGACACATAATCAGCGATAGAATTGCAGTCATCCGGTAAATTTGACGGGAAAGAGAATTGTATTAAATAAATGACGCGGGACCAGTTTATTGTTTGAAGAATAGTTTTGAGAGACATATATGGCCACGGTGAGATAATGCGCCAACAGTTTACTAACAGTTAACCATGTTTGCTGTCATAATTACGTTGTTCATAAAAAAACGAATAACAAACGCCTAACTCATCTGCCTTTGATATACAATATTTGCCAAATAATCTACTCACCGTGTACGATGTAACACAAGGAATAAAAATGCTCTTTCTCTGAGAATTTGCACTTGAAAACCGTTTACTCAACTATGTCGTTAGTTCCAGACGTCAATTATAATCCAGCACTTGTCAACTTGGTTCAATCCTCCTTGGAAAGCGAATATTTAAGCCTTGAATGGATTCCTTGCTCGGAATTCACCAACATAGAGCCAACTCAAATTGACAATGTCTACTACGCTAGTCGTAACGGCGTTAAGACAATGCTGCTATGCCTTGGAAACAGCGGAGAATGTACACAAACACTTGTGAGTGAGTTTGCTAGAATATACTCGCTTCCGACACACAAGTACAATAATAACAGCGACAACTTTAGAAGATATAAGGAATGGCTTACGGAGCGCAACAAACTAATAAAGGGTTTTACTGAGTATAATAATAACTATTACATGGTTGCGAATGAACTCTTTTACCACTGTTATTCCCGATATGGATTCTGCTCTGCATGTGGAATA